TCTATCTATCTATCCATCTATCTATCCATCTATCTATCTATCTATCTATCTATCTATCTATCTATCTATCTATCTATCTATCTATCTATCTATCCATCCATCCATCCATCCATCCATCCATCCATACATCCATCCATCCATCCATCTATCTATCCATCCATCCATCCATCCATCCATCCATCCATCCATCCATCCATCCATCCATCCATCCATCCATCCATCCATCCATCCATCCATCCATCCACCTATCTATCTATCTATCCATCCATCCATCTTCTGTCTCTCAGTCTCTAATCCACCTCTGTGACCCTTGCTCCGCTCCTATTGGTTTGTATTCCTTTCGCGTTCCTAAAGTATTGACATTTGCTCGGTCGGCAACATCTGGCGACATCTGTTCTCCTGCTTTCTCCTATTTTGCCACCTCACCTACTCATCATCAAGTCCGCGGAATCCAACGAAACCTTGAAACAAACTATGACTATGTTTGTGTCGTCCTTGCTTCATGTTTATTTTGACTCCTTTTTTTTTTTACCTCTCGAAGGAAGGCCTCCCCACAGCCTGCTCTAAACTCCTGTTTAGTTTCTTCAGAGTCCTTCTAAAAAACTGTACGTAAATACCAATGTCACTCACCTATGCTAACACAGTGGTAACATCATAATATAGGACAGTGATACTTAACCGTAGGGTCGCGGCCCAAATCTGGACCGCCGGCACCACCTACCAGGCCACCAAAAACCTTCGGATTTGCACCTGGGGGTCACTAGGGGACTGTGTATGTTAGCAACGGAAGACATGAGACGCTAAGTTACAATGCAGCTTTTGCAAGATAAACAAAAGAACGCGAATGAATGTAGCTTAATCCAATGTATCGCGTACAGCTAGCGAATGTAAACAAATCTGTCTTAGGGGCCTGTTTAGTTTCTTCAGAGTCCTTCTAAAGCAGGGGTGTCGGACTCATTTTCACGAGGGGGCCACTTCAGCAATACAGTTCCCCTCAGGGGTTTCCAACCACCGGTCCGCGGACCAGTAGCAGTCCATAGGTCATTTGGTACCGGGCCGCAGTGGGACACAGTGAAAAAATGTGCTCAATTTTTACTAATTTACTTCATTCAAGATAATATTTTAAATAATTAATAATTAGTAATTAAAAAACGTTTAATTTCCTAGGTCAAGAAACTCTGCTGCATTGACTTTATTAAATGCTTTTTAAGCTCCCGCGGACCACACAAAACGGCTTGGCGGGCCACATTTGGCCCCCGGGCCTTATGTTTGACGCGTATGTTCTAAAGCAGGGGCCACATCAGCAATACAGTTCCACTTGAAGGGCCGGTTGTAACTGGGGTCCCCAGCACCCGGTCCGTGGACCAGTACCGGTCCATTGGTCATTTGGTACCGGGCTGCAGTGGGACATGGTTAAAAAATGTGCTTAATTTTTACTAATTTACTTCATTCAAGATAATATTTTAAATAATTAATAATTAGTAATTAAAAAACGTTTAATTTCCTAGGTCAAGAAACTCTGCTGCATTAACTTTATTAAATGCTTTTTAAGCTCCCGCGGACCACACAAAACGGCTTGGCGGACCGCACTTGGCCCCCGGGCCTTATGTTTGACACGTATGTTTTAAAGTATTTTTACATCCACCCCTTGCAATAAACTTTGATTGGGAGTTGGATTGTTGTTGGGGTTTTTTTTTTTCTTTTTGCCTGTGTCAGATAACAGGCCTGAAGCAACTGCTGCTGCTCCGAGCACGCATTTATCACAACGACCTGCACGGCAATGTGTGTGCGTTCATTTCTCCAGCGATCAGTTAATGATTGGGCAGACATGATGAATTGCAAGCCTTTGCTCTTTGCACGAGGGCTGTGAAAAGCTATCCATCAGCCATGTGGCATTTTTGGTTATGAATTAAAAATGCATCAGTTCCTGTTTCCCCATTACGTCCAGTGGTATTTACTACAGCAGCTGAAAGCCACAGAAGGCTTCGCTGGTCGGGGCCTTCGCCTCACAACTCCCTTATTTAGGCAGGAAAAGAGCGAGGGAGGAAGAGTGAGGAGGGGGGAGCGCACACTTTATTGTCATGGGTAAGACATATGCCAGCCTGTCACACTCTTTGTATATTTATTAGCACACACACACACTCGTGCGCACACACACTGGACCCTGTTCAAATGGATGTTTACAGTCTCTGTCTAATACGCAATAACAGATAACTGTCTGCATAAGGGAGTTGGGAAAAGCTCTTGGCATCAAACTGTGACACGTCCATTGGAGGAACATCTTTTAATGCACAAAACATTTCATCAGTAAACGCCGACCCTTGTCCTAAGAAATGTCACCGCTCGCTTTTGCTCAACTTCTACCGAGTGCAGAATCAGTCACAGGAAAATTAAAAAAGGCCACGCTTGAACACTCCCGGATTGCCAAAAAGCAGAAGTTACTGTAACAAAAAAGTAAGTAAAAGCAAATATATATATACACGATAAACAGTACCGTACGAGTGTATCCATACTTTACTCGAGTCTTGCTATTTTGTGAGACCTTACACTTCGACTCCGCTCAATTTCGAAGTGAAAATTTGCACATCGATCAGGGCTCAGCGCTACTTTCTTGCCCTTATTTGGGCAAACTTTTTAAATTAGACGAAAGAAAGAAGCACTTTGGTTTAAGTGTCTTCTCTGCCCGTCTAGGCACAATACAATTTCCTCTTTTGACAATTTTAAGAAACACCTTAAGGTGTTAACATTCTGGTAGTTTTGATGACTAGCAACCAAATTATTTTAAATATAACCTAAACTATTTCAAGAGTGGCCTTGGCGTTAGTATTTTTCACAGTAAATCAGTTGATTTTAAGCATTTTGGTGTTAACCTCAGTTTATTACAAACACATTCTCGAACCATTTAATAAAAATAATAAAAAAAGACTTATAATTAGGGATGTCCGATATTGACTTTTTTGCCAAAATCCGATATGCCGATATTATCTAAACACTTAATTTACGATTCGGATATCAACCGATACTGATATATGCAGTAGTTTTCCTCCAAAACCGCAGTAAGAAATTCAAACATATTTGACGAAACCCAGGCATTACTTTATCGGATTTTCACAGTGGGTGGAAAAAAATGATAACGTTCTTACAGATATTACATAAATAATCGCTAATATCGGGGCGATAATATCGGTCGGGCGATATTATCGGACATCCCTACCTATAACAGTTCATACGTGGATGTGTTCTTAGGTTTTGAATCTATAAATAGGCAGTAGAAAAAAAGGCTGTACAGACTGAGAAGAAGAGGTTTGAGATAAGAAACTCATACGATAGCAATAGCATTCAGTCATATGATGACTAAGGACTACGGAACAACGAGCGCCCACAGTGGCTTGTTATGACAGCCACTCTTTCATCCAACTCAGCTTTCAGAACCCTCCATGTGTCACCCAGCCGGATGTCAGTGAAGTGCTCTCACTTTTGGCTTGGCCTTGGTGCTGCTCTCGCTCTCTCTCTCTCTCTCTTTCACTATCTAACACATACACACACACTCGGCATGAACCCTTAGCGTCTGGACAGGTCGCCTCCTGTGGAGAAGAGAAACTGTGAGAATGATGCTATCACGAAAAATAGCACTTTTTTTTACTCTACATTTTGCATCAAATTGAAATAAATCCAGGCAGGAATTCTGAGCATTTTCCAAATTTATCTGCGCAGTCCTCTACTTAGATCGGAATTGTTACAACGTAACTCGATTTCTACCTTAAGTCGTAACTTACATACTGTACGTAAATACCTATGTCACTCACCTATGCTAACACAGTGGTAACATCATAATCTAGGACAGTGATACTTAACCATAGGGTCGCGGCCCAAATCTGGACCACCGGCACCCCCTACAGGGCCACCATAAACTTTCACATTTGCACCTGGGGGCCACTAGGGGACCGCATATGTTAGCAACGGAAGACATGAGACGCTAAGTTACAATGCAGCTTTTGCAACACAAACAAAAGAACACGAGCGAATGTAGCTTAATCCAATGTATCGCGTACAGCTAGCGAGTGTAAACAAATCTGTCTGAGGGGCCCCTCTACATATCGTAAAGTATTTGAATGCAACACGTCCCCGTAAGTGATCCAGAGCGCGCGGCTCACGATTTGTGGGTTGATAAATAAAACGTTTTTGATTTGATTTCGGGCCGAGCGTAAGGCAACCTACGTGGAATGAGAAAACCTAGGAATGGAATTTGACATTTTACGACATACAACTATGTATGTATGTGTGCGTATTTGTGTGCGCGAGCCGCATGCTCGTGGGGTTTTAGCTCTAAAACAATGCAATCTGTTCGACAAGATTTACCTCGGGAGCGTGTCAGGGGTAGGGGAATACGGTCGGGGGGGCATCTGTGTCATCCCACCCTCTTACCCAATCAGCCGTGTTGAGAAATAGATTAGCACATAATTGCTCCAGAGGTAGGAAACTCCAGTGAATAATTCATGCCAAGCGTGGACCAGCATATGCTCAGATTAGAGTGAATTAGAGCGAAGTTCCTCATGTGTCGCCCGATCACTCAACTGATTGAATGCCGTGGCTGATCAACGCTTCCATCGTACATTTTGTTTCCCCATGTGCTTATATATATTTCGGCCCAATTTATGTCCTTATCAACATACTGTAAGTGGAATAAATGTATTATTTTCTGCGTAAGGGATCAAGGCGTTTGTGCGGCGTTATTGTAGAAAACATCGCATATAAATTGCATTACTAGAAGCATTTCTTCAACATAGTATTTGCATGAATACATGCATGTACTTTAATATATGCAGGGAGAAATAAACATTTAGGAGCCTGTGGTAAAATACTATACATATAAATTTGTTTGCATATGAATTAATCACACATTTATAAGCATTGTAGCCATGACTAGCTTTATCTTTTGTGGAACAGTTAGCCTGCCCGTGCCTTAGACCGGCAGTCCCCAACCAACCAGTCGGCCGGAATCAGACATTACTCTGGACCTGGTAATACCATCATGAAGGATTGTGACATTTTCAAAATAAAACATCTTTTAGATTTATTCTTTTAGTTTTAGGTCTATTTGGATGAAGTAAATTATTAAAACCAAAGTACATTTTTTCATTGTGTCCCACTGCGGCACCAAAAGACCTACAGACTGGCTCCTGTCCCCGGACTGGTCAACCCTAACATCGTAAACCCTAACGTAGTTCCTCAACCCTAGACTATGTTAGCATAGGTGAGTGCGTTAGGTACTTATGAATAGCAAAGTTCCCCGACCTGTGCTAATAATCTCGCAATGGTTCAAAACAACAGGTCATTCAGACTCTGATACTAACAGAATTCTGAAAGATGTTTTATTTTGAAATTTCATGATCCTTTAACAATGGCGCAGTACTATCGGTCCGCAGTAACAGCTAATACCGACCGACCGGTTGTTGGTGACAAAGATTGGGGACCACCGATGTACAGTATGTGAGTTCCGACTTACGACAAAATTGAGTGACGTTGTACCGTAGGAACGGAATTCCAACGTAAGTCAAGGTCCAGTAGTGATAGTACAGTACTGAGATTTTATTACACAATTAACTTAATAAACATTTTATAACTGAAATTTATATACGATTTCTCTTCTTTTTGACGTGTTACGAGAATTTTTTTTCACTGTCAAGTCACCGTAGCTTTGACAAAGCTCTTATTTTAGCGTATCTTAATAACTGCTTGTGTGCAGCCTCATTATCACGCGTGAAGATAGGACGGCTTGCGAGACTGTGAGACTCGCAGGTAAAATGAAGTGTGAACCATCGCCACCTCACTGACTTTGACTCATCCGTTTCTGGCTCCTGTTCCTCAGCCTCCATGCTGCTCACTCACATTGAACTAAGTTCCCAATATGTCACACGCGGAAGGAGAGGAAAGAGGCACATTTTCAAACCGTTGGAGTAGAACATGACATGCTGTTGGTTTGTAACAGGAGGCTGCATCCAAAACATGGCAGTAGATCTTTGGGGTTTTTTTCCCTTCCAAAAATTGACGTCTTAGTTAAAAACCAAATTACACACAATGTGGAGCCATAGCTTTGACAAAGTGGAACAGATGCAGTGCAATAAATTAGTGAAAACACAGACAGTTTGAAGAGCTCCTGAAAGCAAAACGAACACCTCAGGAGCTAAAATCGTTCACTTTTTTTTTCATATGAAATCCAAACGTTCACCACTCTCTTCTCTGGAAATGTCACTGTTCTTTTTTTTCATATGAAATCCAAACATTCACCACTCTCTTCTCTGGAAATGTCAATAATATGTATACTGTTTATATTTATTAAACTGGAACACTACTTTTCCGATGAGCTGGTATATAGTTCTTCACATTTGCATTAACAACAGCTGCACTATCTACTGTATAATGATGTGCTGGGGGTTTTTTTAGGATGGCACATCTATTGCGTGTTCGGTCATATGAGTGCTCCTCATGGCCTGTTCTAGAATAAAGGAACACTTTCATTAATCACACAACATTCTTTTGATCGGTATGCTCAGAAATTTATGGAATCTAAAGAACAGTCATGTCTTTGTATTGATTATAAAATCAAAGTAAATGTGGGTCATTTCGACCAACGGGTTCCCAAACTTTTCCATGCCGAAGCCCCCCTCCCAAAACCGCATTAGCTTCTGGCAGGGTAACCCCCTCAGCTAACCTCTGACTTTGCTAAAAAAATATATGTAATGACTCATCAACTTTTAGATTTTTATTTTATTCCCCCAGAATAATCAATTTAATAATTTAATGTCAATCTGCTCCTTTTTGCGCTAAGCGGCTACACACTAGCTCGAGCGGCAGAGCTGCGTCTTTAGCAGCTGTGGTAATGTGATTTGCCTGGTTAAGTTATAACTATAGATATAAAAACTCATCATATGTCACATATATATATTAGGATTTAATGCCTGAGTGTAGTAGAGGAGGATCTCTTGATGAAGGGAAACCAGACTTGTGGCTCATGTTCAATTGTTGCTCATCACTTGTTTTTTGTTGTACAGCTACTTTGTACCAGAACTTCTCAAATAGTGGGGCGGCCCCCCCTCTGGGGGGGCATGAGGGGCTTCCAATGGAATATGGCAGTGTACTACTGCTGTAATGTTTGAATGATAACAAGCCTACAGTCACTAGGGGGCAGCAACTCATACAGTGGTTTGTACAGTTAAAATATAAGTCATCAGGTTCTCAATAGTATTTCAATTTGCGGGGGTGGGCGGGAATGACAGAAAATAATTGAAAACCACTGCCCTAACCCCGGACGGGGAGGGGGAGGGCGTGACAGAAACAAATTGAAAACCACTGGTTTGTACAGTGGTGGCGTCCTGGCTAATATATATAATATATGTCGAATAGACCCTCAGGGTTGACCTACCTGTGCAGCCACTATGTAAATATGTGTTGCACATTTTTTAACATATATTTAAAGAACGCCTCTCGCACCGACGCGATGGATGTACAAGCAAATCCATTTGTCTTGATTCCCTTTCATTGCTCCTAACCTTGACAGCTGGTGCACTCGCAGCTGTGAATGACGGGCAGGACAACGGGCTCACTCTCCCCGTTCTCACACCGCAGGTTGAGGAAGCGCACGGGAGTGTCCGGATCCAGACGGTAACTGCAGCACTCGCACACCGACAACAAGTACGGCTCCTGTGCAGAAAGATGGAGAAGAAGACAGTGATGT